TTTCTTGTCTGTGCCATATTGCTAACATAACTGAACACCACTAGTTCACTCATAACTTTGTACTTTTCTAAAAAAAGCATCTAAACCAAGTAGGAGCCTATTCTAAAATCTTGAGCTGTTTGTAATAGTCATGCAATAGGAACATCTTGTATCATTCTTTTTTTTTTTCCTTTTCTCTCTTTCTTTAAAAAAAAATCATTTGGTGTGTTCTTTTAGCATTCAGAGCTGTAGCTGGCCACCCTCCTTTGGGTGGTTTAGATCAGCTGTCTTTGGGCAGTTCTTTGAAGTCTGTGAAATACATAGATAATTTAGTCTGACATCCTTGGCAGGCCCCTTTAAAAAGCAGAATTGTTTGATGGAATGACACAAGAGGTCTGTTAACTGAGTTATAAAGAACTTAGGCATTTCCAACAAACCCTTACTTTGGCATGAAATTTAAATAGTTTGTGCTTTGTGGCACATAGTTGGTGAACTTCCTGTGATGTAATATTGTCTCATAGTACAAAATACTAGGAAATAAGAATTTTACTGTACCTGGCAGTTTCTCCAAAGAGGAATGGGTGGAAGTCAGTATGTGGTTATTTTCTCCTTTAATTCAATTCAGCTACAGTGGAGGGACTATCTTAGCAAGATGTGAGGAAACAAATCTAGAGAGAGTAGTAGACCTGGGATATTTGACAAACCAGCCAGTCCATGTGAGGGGGCCTAAGTAATGACTTTAATCTAATTATTATGGTGTGTTTAATACATACCAATAAAAGTTTCTCTTTAAAACCTTATAAAATTAAATCTAAAGATACGCATTTCGTTTTTGTGGATGTGATATAAACATCTTGAAACCTTTTTTAAATTAAGTGGAATTTAATTTTTTTTGAAGTTCTTTTTTATTATAATTTCATTCTGGTCCCTAAAGTTTCATAATATGTTTTTCTAAAATTTGAAGGTTTGTTTGGGGTTTTTTGTTTGTTTGTTTGTTTGTTTTTTCAGGTGTTTTGAGACAAGGTCTTGCTGTGCAACTCAGGCTGGCCTTGCACTTACTTGGTATCCTAAGCTGGCCTGGAACACATGGTGATCCTCTTGCCTCAGCCTCCTGAGTGCTGGGATTACTGGTGTGCACCACTACACCTGGCTCTAAAATCTTAAGTGTTTGATCCAGATATTGTTACTCTTATCAGAAAGGTAGTTTTTACATAAAACAGAGATCAGGAAAGAAGTATTCCAAGGCAAAGGTTACCAAAATAAAGCTTCCAGTGTATGTTGCTGCACTTTCTGAGTTGTGGCACTACTGCTGGGTGACTCTCACGCTCCAAATGGAACTACAAAGTAGTTTCGATTCTTGCCTGTGTGTTAAAGTGGAACCATGTGACACCAGCAAATGGGTACCACATGGCAGAAATACCCAGAAGCAAGTCAGTAGTATGAAAGGGATAATTTAGTGCTGTTGCATTTCTTTTTTCTTCTGGAGACTGGAGAGAGGGGGGTGTGTGTGTGAATATTTGTGTTCCTACAGAATTAGGCTCCTCATTTTAGTTTATGCACATGGTTGGTTTACTAGGGTTTATGCCTGCCTAATTTTTGTACTGATCTTTAGTCTTACACCTCTGATTATAGCTTGTAGACGTCACATTTCTTTATCTTTGAAACGGAAAATGACAGAGAGTGACAGCAGTATGACTCTTACTTTTTCAACCTGACTGGCACTTAATGTTGCCTTAGAATATGGCCTGTGGACCTTGGCATTGTTTAAGAGTTGTGCGTACTTAGCACATTTTCCAGGCTTTAGTCATTTACTCAGAAAATGATTACTGAACTAGCTTGCCCTTTTCCATCTGTATGTTTTTCATAATATGTTTTTCTAAAATTTGAAGGTTTGTTTTGGACATAGTGTGCCCTAGGAAATACTAAATGGTAAAAACAGTAATTTCTCTAGATCCACATACTCAGAAGTTTATCTCAGAATATACTTTCCATAAATAACAGAACTATTGGTAGCTAGGAACTTCACTGGCTTTTACAACTAATTTATTCCATTTGCTTAAGTGGAATTCAGAAATATCATGAGAATGTTTGCAGGTTAAAGCATCTGTGTATCATATCAAAACCATTTCAGGAAAGTACCTCTTTGAGTAGGTATATAGCCATGTTTAAGTTTGCCCTTTACTTACATAGTGTCCATTTAAATCCTTTACAGTGCACTATATGGGCTTCAGAGTCACACCGTCCTGATCAAGTCCTCGTTTTGTGACTTGTTAGTCGTGTTACTAATTATGATTAGGTCTAACCAGCTACTTGATTATGGGCAAGTTAATCATTCTGATCTTTGTTTCTCTATCTGTTTTATAGGGATAATAATACCCATCTTGCATATTTGTCTTGAGGATTAAACAAGATGATAGATTGATAGTTACTAAATACCTGCCACATAGTAGATTATCAGTTAATGCTAATTTCCCTTTACCCCATTTTATGTGCTCACTTTTCTGTTACCTTAATAGTACAGAACAGTGTACTATTCAAGCATCCATGTTTTATTTGGGTATACAGAGAAAAGGCACTTTATATTTTGTCAAATAGGGCCAGTAGCTATTACCCATGGTAGTAAGACTGTGGAAGACTTTTGCTCAACATGTGCTATATAAAGAATGCATTTTCAGTTAATTCCCTCACATATCTTTTTTCCTAGTATGAAAAGCAAAATGCAGCCAGTATTTACTCAGTATCTGTGTTAAACACTGGTCTCTAGAATTTATTACAGTGTCACAAAGGGATATACCTATTATAAAGTTAAATAACACTGTTGACTTTTTTAGTCTTTTTTTTTAATATATATTTTCTGTTAAAATTTTTTTAAAAATCATAAAATCCAGAAACAGTTCCATCATGTTGAAAATCTCATGTTACACTTTAGTCACATTCCCCCACGCACATAGCTAACCCTGTATTAGCCATGTCCATTTTTTGTTGTTATACTTTTACCTCTTCCATAATGTCATAAATGGATTCATACCTCGTGGCCATTGTAACTGGCTTCTTTCATTCAGTCTGGGAGGTCATGCAAGTGTCGAATCTGTTGTTACTTTTTACTGTTAACTTGGTATGGGTGTACCATTTTGTTTATCTAGTTATACACCAGGGTTCATTTGGATTGTTGTATTTCTTTTTTAAAGTATTGATCTGTTTGTTTTAATTTTCACAGCAGAATAATATATAATAAGCATGGAAAAATTGAGAAATGAGTAAAAGTTGAAAAAGAATGATCCTTGCCCAAACGTAACCTCTGTTAATATTAAGGTATTCTTTTTTTTTTTTCCCTCCCCATGTACAGAATTTTTTGGTTTTTGTTTGTTTGTTTGTTTTTTGTTTTTTGTTTTTTTGAGACAGGTTCTCACTGCATAGTTGAGACTGACCTGGAATTCACTATGTAGCCCAGGCTGGTCTCGAACTCACAGCGACTCTCCTGCCTCAGCCTCCCAAGTGCTGGGATTAAAGACCCCAGGGTTCTCGAACTCACAGCGACTCTCCTGCCTCAGCCTCCCAAGTGCTGGGATTACAGGCATGCGCCACCATGCCTGGCTTGTGTGGGATTTTTTGGCTGATGCCTGGCCATAGTTGTGGTTCTTTTCTTCATATACTTTCTAAAATTGTTATTATAGTAAAAAATAAATAAATTACCCTCTTATCAGTTTTTAAAGTTTGTAGTACAGAATTATTAACTATGTCCATGATATTTTACAGCACATCTCTGGTACTTAACTCATTTTGCTCAGCTTAAACTGATTCCCATTTGCCCTTTTCTCCAGTCCCTGACAGCCACTGCTCTACTTTCTGTTGCTGGGAATTGAAGACTTTAGATAATGGAATCCTGTAGTGTTTGTCCTATTGTAACTGGCTTGTCTGTTTTGTAGCTTCATTTTTTCAGTTGTGAAGAATGTATGTAACCTACATAGTTTCAAAGAGATTGTAAAGCAGACACTACCGTAACCATCACTTGTTAAAAAATGGAATAGTGCCAGGATCTTAAGTTTCTTTTATGCTACCTCCCGTCGTAGCGCCTTTCCCTTTCCTGGAGCCACTGTAGCCTAACTTTGGTCAGAATCATTTCCTTGCTATGCTTCATAGTTTTTCCACCTACATATGTTCTTTAAACAGTATAATTTAGTTTTCACTATTTTTGAACTTTGTGACCTTTTTAAAACAAAGGTTTCTGCTTTCAGAATTTCTTCTTGCTTGATTATGATAAACTTCGATGAAGGTGCTTTCCATCAGTGGCCATAGTGTTCAGATGCAGGACCATGCTATTCTTTACATAGTTATTCCCCCATTTAATTTGTTTTTAGTTTTCAGTATTAGAAGTAATCTTGCAGTAAGCATTTTATACATAAATCCTTTATTGTATTTAGAATTATTTATTTGGATAGTCATGAATGAAGAGTATGAAGTTTGGGCTGGGGATGTGTAGCTCAGTGGTGCTATGCCTGCCTGGCAAGTGCAAGGTTCTGAGTTAGATCCCTGGTACCAAAAAAAAAAAAGTTCAAAGTTCTAAGACCCCGATAAATACTGCTAAATTGTTTTACTGAGAGTTTTACCACTTTATGCTTTATGCTGCTGTAGTGAAGCTTTATTGTCCCTGAGCCAGCACTGGGGTTCTTCACTCCTCCCCGCTCATTAAATACCTTAGGGAATTTGATGATTGAAAGGCACTGTTTTATCTTACCTTGCATTTCTGAGGTTAAGTGCTTCTCTTTGTGTTGAATAATCCACTTTCTTTTTGTTGACTTTACCCAGGTTTATGTTGGGTTCAGTCAGTTTCTTAAGTAGTGGTTAATGTGGCCTTGTGACCAGTGCTTTTTTTTTTTTTTTTTTTTTTTTTTC